AACCTTCAGGGTGGATATAGCTCGCTAGCAGCCTCGCACCGAGGACCTATCCACGTCATCATTTACCCAGAATGCTTTGTGTGGAAACAAAATGGCTCCGTCCGTGTAAAAATATATTTTTAAAATTTATAAAAACTAAACATTGTACAGTATTTTTACAGTTAAAATATGTTTATTGAATAAAGTCTAATGTTACAACTAATCCTGGATCCCTTTAAGCAGCTTTATGAATCATGGAGTCAGCTTTATTTTGAAACATCCAAACTTTGTTTTCTTTTGTTAAAAATAAAAGTTAGTTTATTTCCTCCTTCTGGACCCGTCCTCTGCTAAAATGACTTCCTGAGAACATCTGGAAGCTGCTGCAGCTCAGAGGGATGAAGAGTTAGTATTTGAGCAGCAGTTTGTTGATCCCACAGAGGTCAGACCACCAACAACAAAAGGAGGAATGTCTCAGTCCTCAGCTTTTGTTCAACCTCTCAGCTCAAATCTTCTCACGCTGAAGCTTCATCTGAAGCTCAGAGCAACTCTTCACCGACGTGCTGCTGCCGGTGCTTCAGAACCACCTGGGTTCTGTAAGGGTTCAGGTTTTATCTGCAGAACTCTTAATCCTGTTTGATGCGTTCACGTCAGGGAGGTTCTGGTTCTGGTTCTGTTCCTCAGATAAATGTAACTGAAGCTGGGTCAGGATTGATTCTGCTGCAGTTTGTCAGAGCTGCAGGACGTCAGCAGCTCAGCCTCAGAGAGGGGGGAGGAGGAGGAGGAGGAGGAGGAGGAGGAGGGGGTAAATAAGACCCATAAAGGATGCTTTGAGTCAGCTGTGGAGGAGAGGGGGGCTCCGATCAAACGGCCCCCCGGCTGCTTGGAGGATGTGGCTGCATTGCAGAGACAGTGAGCTGGATGGGGGGGTCCGGAGTCGGCAGGCAGAGGAGGAGGAGGAGGAGGTGGCTGAAGGAGGTGTGGAGGACACTCTGAGCGGCGGTCAGACAGGACGGAGGGACAGAGGAGGACAGGAGGATCCAGGTTCTGCTGCTGGTTCTGATTCTGCAGCAGAACTCAAAGGAAACAGGAGCTGAGGAATCCAGACCAGGTCTGGGGGGTGGTGGTGGGGGTGGGGGGGCAGACTCAGGGACCACACACACACACACACACACACACACACACACACACAGATATAGTGTGTGTGTGTTCGGGGAGTAAATCAGCTGTTGGAGGTGTTGTCTCCGTGCACTGGGAGGAGGGATGTTGTGATGCTGGGGGGTGGTGGTGGGGGTCTCGGGCCTCAGATAATGATGTGATTCCAGCACGAGTCGGGCCCGCTGTACCTCGCCACCGTCCATTATGATGTGCGGCCCCCCAGCCGGCGCGGGGGCACAGTGAAGGTGAGCCTGTCATATCGATCTTTTTAGTAGTAAAATATGAGCCACTTTACTCYGCTCCCCCTGCGCACTGATGTGAAAAATAATAACTCGGACCCAAATTAAAAATATTGATCGCTTACAGGGTGCTGAGAGCAAATAAACACCTCCTGAAGGATTTTATCAC